GATTTGGAAGACAGGGAACAGCATGAAGACCCATAATCCAAGGGAAAATCACCAGCAACCTACTGCAAGACATACAGACATACACAAGTCTGTATAGCATTCATCCAAGGGTGCTGAGGGAGCTTTCCAAGCCACTTCCCATAAGTTACCAACAGTCCTGGTTAACTGAGGAAGTTACCCGTGACTGGAAATCAGTAAATGTGCTGCCCAGCTAAAAGAAGGATCAGAAGGGGGATCCTGGGAACTACAGGTCTGTCAGCCTGACCTCGGTGCTGTGAAGGTCATGAGGCAAATGATCCCAAGTGCCATCATGTGGCACATGCAGGACAACCAGGGGATCAGGTCCAGCTGGCATGGGTTTGGGAAGGGCACGTCCTGCTTGACAAACCTGATCTTCTGTGACCAGGCGACCTGCTTAGCAGGTGAGGGAAAGGCTGTGGATGTTGTTTGTACTGGACTTCAGTAAAGACTTTGATGTCATTTCCCACAGCATTCTCCAGGAAAAACTGGCTGCTCATGGCTTGGGAGGGTGCACTCTTTGCTGGGCTAAAAACTGGCTGGGTGGCCAGGTCCAGGGGTGGTGGAGAACAGAATTACACCCAGCTGGTGACCAGGCACAAGCAGCGTTCCCCAGGACTTGGTACTGGGGCCAGTTCTGTTCCATGTCTTTATTAATTGTCTGGATGAGGCGATGGAGGCACCCTCAGTCAGTCTGCAGATGACTCTAAACTGGGCAAGAGTGCTCTGCAATGAAGGAAGGACATTGAGGGGCTGGAGTGTGTCCAGAGGAGGGCAATGGAGCTGGGAAAGGGTCTGGAGCACAAGTCTGACCAGGAAGTGCTGAAGGAGCTGGGGGTATTTAGTATGGGGAAAAAGGAGGCTCAGGTGGGACCTTCCTACTCTCCACAACTCCATTGCAGGATGTTGTGGCCAGGTGGGGGTCACTGTCTTCTCCCAAGTAACACATGATAGGAGGAGAGGAAATTATCTCAGGGTGTGCCAGGGAAAGTTTAGGTTGGATATTAGGAAAATTTTCTTGATGGCCAAGCATTGGAACAGGCTGCCCAGGGAAGTGGTGGAGTCACCATCCCTAGAGGCATTTAAAAGATGTGCAGATGTGGTGCTTGGGGACATGAGTTAGTGGTGGCCTTGGCAATGCTGGGTTAATGGTTGGACCTGATGATCTTGGAGGTCTTTTCCAGCCTACACTGTTCCATGATTCCATGATTTGGGTCTCACTATTTGCTTCTTTCCATTCTCAGTCCCTGTCCTCCAGAGCCCAGCCATTTCTGTAGAGGACACATCCTTCAGGGCAATATTTTATGCCTTTCTTGATGTCTTTTATGCCTTTCTTGATGTCTTTTATTTACCCATTAATGTAAACTCTGTCTGTGACAGGCTTTTAGCATGACTGTTTCTGTGATAAGTCGTTTACTTCTTTTTCCTTTGGGTTTTGCCTGTAACAAAAATGATTTACCATTGGGAAGCCTTTCCTTGCCTCTTTGTATGTTTGCCACTGCATTGGTCTCCTCAGCTAAGCTGACATTTTTCTGGGCAAAAAGGAATTATTTCCCAAACCAGGTTAGGTAGATCAGGAAAGCAAGTAGGGTAAGCAGAATTTAGACCAGCAGAAGAACACAGCTATATTTTATTCAGGGAGAACATTAAGATAAATCTTCCAAATCACCCCCCTCTAAATATAAACTGAATCTTCTGACATAAATCAGCCAATTTAGCTGCTGCTAAAGGCTTTGTAGTGTAGGCAAGTGCTCCTAAGTGGAGCTGGCTGAAGTGCTGCTGGTTTGACTCACTGCACATCAGGTCGATAAGGTTACTGCTCCCCTCGTGCAGCTTTTCTGCAGGTTCATGCAGATCCCCAAGGCAGAGATGCTCTGCAGTGAACCTTTCTGCATTTGTTGTTCTCACATCCTGGGTGTCTTCTGGCAGCACTCATCATATGCATCATTGCTCAATTCAAGGCTCTCGTGTTCTCAAGTCTCTTTACAGGCAGGGTGGGATGTGGCTGGTGGAGCTCGGGGTTGTCTGGGCTTGAGTGGAGTGAATCATCCTCACAGAGTAATCTCCCTCTGCCACTGATGCTGAACTGCTGCAAGCTGTTCCTACTCAGCAAAGCACATAAGCCAATTTCTGGCTCCATTTTCATTCAGCAGAACATTTAACTGTGAGTTTAATATTAAACTCATGCTCAAATCCCTTAGGTTATTAATGGGTTTAGGTGAACGTCCACTCTGCATCACTGAATGAAGCAGGGATTAATTAAAGGAGAGAGGAGCTCTGCAGAGCTGGGTTCAGGCAGAAAACTGGTGCACTCCCACCTAAGGCTTCTCTCCCCACCAGCTGTGCATCCAACAGTTTATTCCCTGGGTACAGTGCTGATACTTTAATCTTGCTCATCAAGGGATATTTTTGTGGTGTTGGATTTGCATGCTGAAAGAGCCTGTGAGGTGGCTCAGGACCTTGGTGAACCTCTCAGCTCTGCTGGTATGGGAAGGGTGATGGCAGCTGGGTGTGGCATTCAGAGGCCATCCCTCTACACACCTGGCTCTTCTCATCTCGAGCTTCAGACAGCAGAGGTGGAGGATGCACACAAAGCACAATGGGCTGACGTGACAGCTTTCCCATAGCAGATGTCACACAAGCTCAGAAAGGGTAGGAGTTGAAATACTCACTTGCTGTATGTTTTCAGAGGGGAGGAGGTGACAGCTCCCTTTGTACACTGCACAAGTGCAGATTGGGCAGGGCACCTGCTGCTCTCTGTGAAGGGGATCTTCATTTCTGTAAAGGAGATTCCTCCCTCACTGTTTGCTCATTGTAGAAAATGCTGAATTGAAGATGCTTTTAGGAGCATGTTGTCTTCACAAAGTCCTATAATTTTGACATATCTCTTCCTCTGTTGCAGGAGATGACATAATATTTATGAAAGCCCTGACACATGTTGTCCAGATGTTGTGGATGCCCCATCCCTGGAAGTATTCAAGGCCAATTTGAATGGGGCTCTCAGCAACCTGATCTAGTGGAAGATATCCCTGCCCATGGCAGTAGGCCTGGAACTGGATGATCTTTAAGGCTCTTTCCAACCCAAACCATTCTATGATTCTTTAATTCTACGGCTGATGCTGTCAGTCCCTGAGTGCTGACAAAGACCACAACTCTCTGGGCACAGATCAAGCTCTCTTTGTACCCCACTTTTCCCACCTTTATAATGGGAATAACAATAGTTGTTAACCTTATAGCAGTGTGGTATTGGCTGTGTTTAAACAGAAAGACTGAGCACACTTGGTGGAACTCCATTTAATTGCTCCTGGATTTAAATTTGGGGTTTCCAGTGTTCCCATTCTATCCATTAGCCTGGACACCCTCTGACATGCAATGGCAGTAGGGGACTTATTGGTGACTTCCAGGTAACAAGGGACAGGGTCAAAGGGGATGGCCTCAAGCTGCACCATAGGATATGAGGAAAATTCCTTTACTGTGGAAGTGTGGCCAGACATTGGAACAGACTGTCCAGGGAAGCAGTGGAATCACTATCCCTGGAAGTGTTAAAACATGTGGTGGTTAGGGATTTAGTAGTGGACTTGGCAGCACTGGGTTGATGGTTGGACTTGATGATTTTCAAGGCCTTTTTCAACCTTAATGATTCTCTGATTCCAAGGGTGCAAACCAGAAGCCTTTCCTTGAGCTGAGTGGAGTTGTGCCATTGCCAGGCTGTGGTAAGGAGAGGATGTTTATCGCAGACTGTTTTGATTTGTAGAGTGAAAACACAGAGCTTAGTCATCAAAAACAGGGGTTAGTCATCAAAAACAGTTTACCTTCCTCTCAAAATATGAAAAGGCTTAAAAGTTTGGTGAGGTTTACAGGGCATTAAACAAACACTGCTATTACAATTGCCGGTGTTAATTCTCATCAGGTAGCCTTCCTTCCCCATTCGAGGGGAGACTCAGAGCTCCTTGTCAGCTGCCAAATGCTGTGACCCTGGTGCCCATAAAAGGTTTCTGTTGTAACTGTCTTGTTATCAGCCCATCAATGTCCTGACACTTCCTAGTGATTAATCCTGTGTTGAAATGAAATTAAGTTTCCATATATTTGGCCAGTGACCCCAGGACTTCCTATTTGGGGAATACAAAGAATAAAGCATCTGTAGCCTACAGGAAGCCAGAGTCTCTGATTTCCTGCAGAGGCAGAACAAGAACAAACAGGGAACACATTTTTCACCACGGCAGTCGAAAGTGCACGTAAGAGCCCTGTCGGCCCCCATGATGAAAACAATTGGAAGGGGGAACATCCCTGGTCCCAAAATTATTTGTGGGTGTTTTGTTACGTACACAATATGCCATTAGAAAATAGATGCAACTCAAGTTAATGTTTTTTCCAGGTGACTATTAAGGTTTCCTTTGGCATAAGTCTTTTGGTTTCCATCAGTGAGATTGTGCTTGTTAGGCAAGTGAGTTTTACTTTGCCTTTTGCTGCACTAGGCTCTCTAAATCTATTTGAGATTAGGAAAATGCAAGGATATTTTTTTACAGCTTTGTTTAAACGAGACAGGCCAGATTCAGGCTGATGTAAATGCCAGTGAAAGGGGCAGGAGGAGGTGATAAGGCAGCAAATCCTCCTTGCAGCCTAACTCTGACTTGTGATGAAAGGTATGTGGGGAAGTAGAGGCACCAGCCTGCCTGCTGAGGATCCCTGAGGGAGAGCCATTGCTGCCTCTACAATCCAATTCAGCTGCTCTATACTCACAGATGGAAACACTTCTGGATGCTTCCAAATTGCTGGTTATGTCTTGCACTAATGGGCATCATCAGCTTGGAATTAACCTCTCTCTGAATAATGCTTCTACCTGAATACACATAATGGCACACGTGCATCTGCACATACAGAGTGTGTGTATTTACAGAGAGAGAAAAAGGTGTCCTGTTTACCCATCACCTTGTTGAGGTTGTCTTGGTTGATGGAGTGTTTCACCCAGCTCTGTCAGATGGGTCTCACTCTGCTTTCCCAGGGTTGGTGGTGCTGTTGCTTCTGGTTCTTTGTTAGAAGAAATTGCCTTGTTTCTGCCCTGCAAGGATATAATATTACCATAACCACTGTGTTTGAGAATACCTTGTTCCCTACAGTTTTCCATCAGTAAAGCCTCTTCTCATGCTTTGTAACCCAGACTGGAGAGAAAGAGGAGAGCCAGGAGGAAGCTGCAGAATGTTGGGCTTGGTCTGACTGGTGGCTGGTTAACACAGCTGTCCTCCAGCAGGCAGAAACAGGATTCCCTGGAAAGTTGCTTGTCTTGGCATTTTTAATAAATTGCTACCTAGAGGGAAAATGCAAAATGTTGTTCTCCTTGAAACCATGGAGGACTGGCTGTGAAGTTTTGGACCTGAGAGAAGATTCAAAGTCTAACTGTGATATTTGTCTGAAAGGGCATCTGTAACATTGTGTTTGAGTTGTCAGCTTTGGAGTGGGTGTTCCTGTTGCCCTGAAAGTACCAAGTGCCTGAGGAACACAGGATGTGGCTCACTGGTCCTTACTGTGGTGACACTGGGATGATCATGTTATATTAAACAAGTCCCAGGAGATCTACAGAGAACTGTGAGTGAAGTAAGGACAAGTTTACACCACAAAGTGCTTCTCACCACTGGAATGCCAGAAGCAGTGGGAATCAAAGCTGGTCTGCAGCATTGACTGGATACAGTCTAGACACATTGACTTGGCAAATGCCTGGAGTTAATCAGCTCTTTTTCTTAATCCAGGCTCTTGTCATATGGCCTTTGTTTACCCTACAGTTTGGTAGAAGGCTCAAGAAGTACCTGTTTGTGCTGAAATTTGCAGGGATGTGGGAACGCAGCGGGGAACATGGGCATTCACAGAGAGAGACCGGATCCACAAGTCTCTCACACTGAAATTCTGTGTCTGCAGTGAGCTGGGCTGCACTATTTTTTCATTTTATTCTCTGCCCTGACTTTTGCAAGGCACCGTGTGTCCCTGTCTATGCCAGTGGGCTGGTTAAGTCTCTTCTAATTATTCTAGAATGAATACTGAGCAGACAAATCCAGGCGGTGCTGCCAGCTCTAGTGATTTTGTCAGTCTTGCAATATTTGCTTTTTGTTCTCGTGGCTTTTGCTCCTACATTCATGCAATGAAATTCCACTTTCCACCAGCAAACAAGAGGAGGGGAAAGAAAAGCACTCCAGGAGTCCAGTCTAGCTGGCAGGGAAGGAAAGTCAGGAGCAATGACACAGGAACTCCCAGGCTGTCAGAACTGGGCTCATCAGCCCCATGAGGGCTCCATCACTCCACCATGGATATTGCAAATAATCCCTGCTCAATCAATCAGACTAACAAACTACTGCTTATCTCCCTCACTGCTGCACATTACCATCCACATTATCTCATCACTCTCTTTTCTTACCATTTTCTTTCCTGCTGAGAGCTGCTTGTGGTTTTCTGCTCTTCCAGGGGAAAAGCTTGCAGGGAGTGTTCTGCCTTCCCTGTACAGAGGTGCTGGAGGAAGATGCAGCAGGGCCTTGACTGAGCCTGGGGAGAGCAGACAAGGCACAGCTCTGACCTCCTTGGCAGCTCTGACATGAAGAGAGCCCAGTGGAGAGGCCAGGGATACCAGATCCATGCAGGATCTTTCCTCAGCAAACATGGGGTGCTGCCTGGGGGTGGACAGGTCCCCCCAGAGTGCCCTGGTGCCGTGGGTGGGATCCACTGCTTGTGCCTCATCCTGCATGGGAATCACACTCCTCTGCTGTTTCTGGCAATGGACACCCCTTCCCAATCAGTCAGGGCTAAGCCCCTCAGCCACCCTTTCAATACAGATTGCCTGTACTACTCTCAAATTTCATGTCCTGTTTGAGAGGCACATGGGACACAGCTTTTCTTGTGTTCTTTTGCCATCTGGCCATTGCCTGCAGCACAGGCTCTCTCTGCACATGTGACTCAGCAGCCCAGATGTCCCAGATGTTTGCAAACCCTTCCAGCACCCTCCCCTACCCTGAGCTTCGTGCACTTTCTTCCACAGCCCCCAGGCTGATAAGGCTAGTCCTTATCACAGCAACACTTCAGTTTTGGTCAAAAGGACCAGTAGTTCTCATGGGGGCACCTTGATCTAAAGATTTAAAGAAAGATCTTTCTTTAAGGAAAAAGCAGTTGGATTGCAAAGGCTGTTGTATACAAACTCAGATTATCTTGTTCAGAGTGTTTATTCTTGCTTTTATTCTTCTCCTTCCTGTTAAAACCCACCATTGTCAGTGAGTTACAGACGTGATGCACGTCTAGAGATGGAGAATTTATTTTCCTGCTGCTACTGTTGGTCAAACCCTGCTCCTATGAGCACATCAGGTGTAAGCATCCCTTTCTCTCCCACCAGCACCAAGCTCTCCTGGCTGTGGCTCCCAGATTCAGCTGATGAAACACAGAAATCTGAGCTCTCCTGCTTTTCTTCTACACAGGGATAACCCCATGGAAGTCATCAGCACTGCATCTGTGCTAATATACAGCACAGATGGAAAACTCTGTAATTTTTTTTCAGTGGTGTAACTCCCCTGATGTAATCATTACCCAAGGATTTCATCAAAATCACCGTTGTGTTGCAAAGGTGTCAGTAAACACAGAATTTCCCTGATATGTCAGGGGTGATAACGTTTTCCTGATACAGCACATAAATTGCCAAGTAAGTGTTCTCCTCATTTGCATCACTTTTACCCCAACACAACTCCACTAATTTGACAATTGCAGGAGTTTTGGATGTCCCAGGAGGAAGCTCACCTTTGCAGTTCTTGAAATTGATGATCTCTGGGTTTCCAGCCACTGAGCTGTGATTGTTCAGCAGAAATGAGCTCTACGCAGAGCTGATGGAGCTGCACAGCAGCAGGGTCATTAACAGGCAATGAGCAACCAGATCTTGTTTGCATCATTTCAGAGGCCATTTAGAGTTGGAACTGCACAAATGAAAGACAAGATCATTTGAGGAAAGAGTGGGTTAAGCTTTCTATCCTTAGGTAGTCACTAGCCTGAGTAGTAGTAGAAATTTTGGGTTCTCTCTGATCCATCCTCTGCCCAGTGACAGAGAGATCAGCACAGAGGAAGGTCTGACCTTGTTCTCTTTTCCTACCCCTCTTGCAACACCATGCAAGGGACATTACTGCTTTACCTTTTCACTGTGTGACCGAATCACTTGTACCCATTTTCACACCCCTTGAGTCTGAGAAGAAGTTGGGATTTTCTGCTTGCAGTTATGTAGATCACTTTAAAGCTTTTATCCCAGAAAAATGCACTCTAGGAGCCAAAAAGGTTGCTGGCTCTTGTGTGAGGTTGCTTGTAGTTTATATGATGCCTGATGCAAATTGAAAAACTGACGTTTGAATAGAGAAACTTTCGGTCTGCACTGTAGGTTTGGCTGATAGGAAGCCCTTCTGTGCTTCAAGGCTTTCCTAAGATGTCAAACATTTCGAGTTAATTAGGGTTAGGAGCCATTTCACTGTTTGAATTTGTGACAGCAGAGAGTTAAATAAAGCCTTGCTTACAAAGTCTCTCACTTGGAAACATACACAAAGCTGTTCAGCCTTAATTCCTGAGTTTGCTTTATGGTTTTTGGTAAACATTGTCTCTTTTCTCAGCCTCTGTGAAGGAGCTCTTGCAGGTCTTTATTTGCCTTCCTTTCACAGCAGAGTTTGCCTAGGCTTGCTGGGGATTGTGCTAACTTTGCAACCAAGTCTGCAAGAAGACAAAACACTTTCCACTTGTGCACCAGCCCTTTGAGATGATTGCTAACAGAGGGCTGGGGCTTCAAATACAATAGCAGCACTGAGATGATGAGCTAAGAGTTTACAGATGACTTCTTACAAGGCGTTCAGAGCATTAAGGAAGGCTCACCACTTAGAAGTTGAAAAAAGTATTCAGGATTGTCACTTGAGCAAGGTGGTGGTGCCTTGGTTAGGTTTACTCTTGACATTTTCACTAGCCCTGTAAGAATTTTGTGTAAAATATCTGCAGGCTTTTGTTAGGATGTAGAACATTCTTCCTTGGTTTTATTTTAATAATCACTTAATAAGATGTTAAGATCTTGTTTATACTGGAAAATTTAAAATAAACTAAATCAGAAAACCAAAGCATACATCTTCATGCAGACCCTATGATGTGACGTTAGACTCTTTTATCAATTTCACTTATGCCTCTTGGCAATAGCTCACATTTAAAGTAAAATATAAAAGGTCATTTTTATACTGGGCTAGGGGTATTTCCATGGGGAAGAGATGATGGTGTAAATGCACCATATATGTTATAAGTAACTTCTAACACTTTGACAAGTAGACAAGGTCTTTGTATGAGGGAGTGATTCCAGACCTAAATCTTGGCCCAAAGACAGGCTTGAGGCTTATTCCCACACATCAGGGCTCAGGCCCTCAGCTGGGGTAAGCTGATGCCTCTCTATTGATTTCTGAAAAGCTAAACTAATTTCCAGCAGAGGAGAATCTGCTCCAGATTTCCCAGCTGCCCTATCAAAAATCTTCTCAGAGAATTGACTGGGGAAAGAAAAAAGGCCTCAGCCTGATTTGAAAGAACATAATAGACCTTTAATTTAATTGACTTAATTTTATTGGCAGCCATTGAATGGTGAAATGAAAACAGATGATCTGGATGAACAAGAAAAGGTTAGATGGGAGTAACCCATTAGTAAATATCAAGGCATCATCCCATTGTCCTCATTTAATAAAGGAACGGGTCAGTAAGTATAATCATAAACATTTTTACATTTTAGTGAAGATTTATTTGACATCATTACTAGCAGAAAGATGGATTCTTGGAACAGCAAAAGATGAAACAGTCTAACAGATGAGAAGTTAGTTCCTTTAGCTGGCAGAGAGCAGCACAGCTCTACAGCCTGACCTATTTAATTCCACCTTTTCAGCAGCTGAGCTATTACTTTGGACTGCTGTGGGATATATGATATTTTTAAAAAGTTTTCTTTGACAAATCGTCCATGCTTACATCTTCTCTTGCCCATTTGGCATTGCTCTTGCAGGCTCCTCAGAGCCAGCAGGTCTGGAGTGGCAGGGCAGTGAAGCTGGACACAGAGCTCTGTGGAATGGGCCAGCAAAGCAGATTTCCCACAGCCCCCCGAGCCCAGCAGAGCAGGGGAGGGGTGAGCTGCTCTGGAAACCTGCACAGCACAGCTCAGACCTCATCTGGAGAAGCAGCTTCTCCCCGTGCCTGCTCCCCATCCCAACAGTCCTGTCCTGCATTCTGTGCAGCCAAGCTTTCAGCTGTCTGGGCTGTCTGGAAGTCCATTCAAACAGGATTTAACAGCCACAGCAAAACCTCATCCAAGGACAGGAGTGCCCTGAGGGGTAGAACAAGTATGATATGATGTGAAAGAGAGAAAATTCCGAGCAGATGCAGGAAAACCAGACCTGACTCCTCACTCAATTCCTTATAATTCACTAGTGGTGGGTGCCCCTTGTGTGGGAGTTCTAACAGAACATTGTCCAGACCAACTCTGAAGAACCTTTTTGCATTATTATCTGCAAATAAATAATTGAACAAATCCTAAAAATAATAAAAAAAATTAAAAATTAAAAGTTTAGATTTTTCTTTATTTTAGATAGAATTGGTTAGAAATAAAATACTTTCTTGTGAAGATGGGACTGAGTTACCCAACCTGGAGTTCCCATGTTCCCATTGAGGATCACCCACCTCACTTTCCATCTCTGGCAGCTGCCCAAGGGCTGCCTCACTCCCCTTGCTTGTAGAGACAGCCAGACTCTCTATGAGCACCCTGGGCACTCAGGAAATATCCAAAATCTTGCACCACCCCTCTTGCATGGGTTGCCTCAGCCCCACTCCAATGGGATGATGGATGCTGCTCTTGTCCCTGTGCCACAGGGAATGCTTAGGCTGTGCTGGTTTCTGCCTTGATTTTCTTCTGTCCCCTTTCTCCAACTTCACTCAAATGGCCAACCCTGGCTCTGTGCTGCATCCCCAGCCAAACCTGAGGGGCAAAAAGGCAGAGCCACTAATGGTAAAGAAGGTGACAGCCCAGTGACCCCATGCAGGCTGGGATGGCACTCCACAGAGCTGATCACACAGCAGGAACTTCATTTTGCAGTGTTCCTGTCCTTTCTCCCAATATCTTTCCCTTGGGTTTCATAAGCAGAGCCCTCTCAGGCTTCACTGTATGCCGGCTTACAGAGAGCTCACAAAAATCAGTGTTCATTCTTTGGTGCCGTGGCCAGGAGTCAGGAGAGGATATGAAGGCCTCTGGTTTTGGGGAGGGACACTGGCAGCTTCTCTTGTCCCGGAGCAGTGGTGAGTTACAGACATATCCTCTCCTCCTGGGGGGCAAGACTGCTGAGGGCAGAGTCTCTAATACTGCATTCCCACAGGGCATAGCCCAAACAACTGCAGGATACACCTGCTGCCCTGAGACCAGGTGTCAGAACAAGCCAGTTTCACCTCAAGGAAACTGGAAAATCCAAACACTTTCTCTAGATATAATCCCAGGCCCAGCCCCTTTCCCTAAAGAAAATCCCAAATACAACCAGCCCCATTCTAAATATTTTAGTTTTCAGCACTTTTCAACAACAATAGAAAAAAAGAGGTGAAAAAAATTGAGGTCTTCCTGGGAAACCAATTCTTGGTGAAATTTTTCAGTCTGGTCCATAACAGAACATCTTGCAGGGGATCTCCCTGTTTGAATTCCAGCACCAGCACCAGGCTGTGACTCAGAATCAGGACTGCTTTGCTTGGCTCCCAGGGCTCTTGAAATCTGTCTAAGCACCACAGACTGTGCCTGGCGTGGGGTGGGCTCCACAGAGCTGTTCCCTGCACTGCACCCTGCTACAGAGGAAAAGCAGCTTGTATCTTAACACATTTTGCCTGGCAAGCATTTCAAAGGCTTCTCCTCTGAATCAGGGCTGCAAGCATTGCCTACATTTCCTCTTCACAGGACCTGGCAGGTTGAACTATGCAAAATTCCTTAATCCTGTTTATCTGCTGTCTCCTTCCGAAGAGGCACAATGCTCCTGTGGCCTCTATGAGCTTTCCTCTGCTCTGTTACCAGAGTTATATTTGCCCATTTGAAGGCCAAACACGGGCAGGATGAGAGCAAATCAACCAGCAGCCCCTCAGCACACCAGAATTTGGGATTTCAGTGTGAATTAAGGCAGGCAAGTGCAAAGGTACTGTGCCCATTTAGCCTTTTTTGGATTAATGAAGTCCATGGTGTCCACAGCAGATTCTGAGCACATAAAAATTATCCATTCTGAGCTAAAAGCTCAAAACAGGACCTTAAGGGAGGAGGAGGGGAGGTCAAACTCCTCCCTGCCTGCTCCTCCTGTCCTGCAGTCCTGATGGGGCAGGAGGAGAGTGGATTGAGGATGCAGGCAGGGGAACCAGGGTTACCTCTCTTCTGGGCCAAAATCTTGATCTCAGTGCTCTGAGCTGCTCAATGCAGGGATGCTGTTCTGTGCAGCTGAACTTTGTATCCCTGAGGGCAAGGAGAAAATAAATCAGCTCTGTCCTTAACCTTTGTGCAGGGAAAATCACTTCTCTGCTCGCCAGAGAGGAGCAGTGGTCTGGTCCTCAGGGGTTCTGCTGGACTGGGTGTCCTTGGGGGATAGAGAGTGACCTGGGGAGCTGAGCAGGACCTGAGGTGGGGATGGTGGCACTGGGTCAGGTTGCAAAAGTAGGAAGTGAGGCACTGCTGGAATGGAGGAAGAGGAAATGCTCAGGCAAGGTGTAAGGCCCCAATCAACCACCTTGATGAGCCTTTTAAAAAGGGCTTAACAGCCATTCATGTACTCTGAGTTGGATGCACAGGAGAAATACCAATGAGATATACTTAAGGGGTCAAAACAACACTTAAGACTTTACTGACAAAATTCAGAAAATCAGCAAAAGTTTGGCAAAAGGTTTGATACAACATTCAGTCAACATAAAACACTTCTTACAGCATTAACTTGGCCCATTCAACTTAGCAAAATTTAAACCCACTTGATGTTAAGTTACTCAAAATATTCCAAGCAGAGGGAATTAGAAGAGGAAGGAGAAAGAGAGAGAGACAGAAAAGATATGGAAAAGCACACATATAGCTACCCCCTCCTGGGTTTCAGAGATGTTAGAGGAGAGGTAATGTCTGGATAAACATGATGGCCTCATGTTCAGCCTTAAATATCCCTTGGCCTTCCTGAGCCCTTCTCCCAGGTGGGACTTCTGGTCACTTTGCCACTCAGGAGCTGTGTCAGGGGCTCCAGGGGTAGGTGTGGAGCATTGCCAGTGGCTGGCACTGCTGCAGGGCTGGGACACCGGCTCCAGAGGGGTGGGCTGTGAGGAGCAGGGCACTGCCCCGCCAGGCCAAGGCCCCACCTGCCCTGCCCCACACACCTGCATCCCAAAACGTCTTGAGACATCAATCTTGCCACTCTCTGACACAAGGGCAGCATGAAGGAGGAGGAAGAGAGAGGAGGGTCTCCCTTTGGGAATGGCCCAAGCCCTGCGGCAGTGGGGGCAATGCTCACCTCCTTGGCTGGGCCTGGAGCGACGAACGCGCACCGACTGCTGTGGGGGAAGGCTGTGTGTGAACGCCCTCGGCGTGCTCATGTCTCACCCCTCTGCCCTCCTGGGGTGTGTAGGTATCCCTCACTCCCCCAGGTCCGTGATGGGGGGCCAGTGATGAACCTGAAGGTCTGGATCCTGCTGCTGAGTGGCTCAGGGGCTGGCACTCGGCTGCGGAGCGGTCCCAGAGCAGGACTGGTGGCACACACATGTCCAGCTGGAGTTGGTGCCGAAATCTTGGCTTTGCAAAGTTTGTGTGTGGGTATTGACTGAGCCAGGATCCTGCCTGGATATGATTCACCTTCCTTCCCCCTCAAGGGAGGTTCATTTGGGGACCTATGACCAGGTTGGCAGCGGCTCTGTGAAACACTGACTGTCTCTTGTGGGGCTAAGGAGAGAGGCCACCTCAAGCTCATTTCTAGAGTCAGCCTCTTTCTGTAATTTTGCCTTACGAGGGTTGCTCGTGAGCCTGTTCTCTAGGATGGCAAACTGAAGGACCATATGTCATGGTTTGGACTGCCAACACATCAACATTGCAATCATTTGCAGACTGTTTTATACTTCTTTGATTCGGGAATGTGTGTAATTAGCTCCTCAGAACAGCCGGGTAGAGGAAATGCGGTCTGTTATTTAGGCAGAATTAACATCCTTGTTCTCTGCATTGTGATCCTTAGTTTCCTAGTGCTGCTGCCAGAGCAGTGGAGAGATCAGTGCTGAGACATTCGTTCTTTGAGCCTGCCTTCGTTGCAAAACTATTTCTGTTCTTTTTCTAGGCTATCCCGATGACCTACAACTGGCACAAGACGTGCTGATGCTGTAATTAGTAAATACCCTCTGCAAGTGGCAGCAAAAGATTTATAGCCACCATTGGAGGCTTTGCTTTCAGCAAAAGGAGAAGCACCAAAGTGTTTGTTGCTGTTTACTGCATTTTTCTGCAGATTCCCAGCAGGGTCCAGACAGCATTTCGTGCTGCAGGCCTGGTAAATAAATCTTTACTGACCTGTTGTGGCAGAAGCCACATATGAATGTGCTGGTGGGGCAAGAATTATGTTATTTTAATAGGTTAACAAACCCATACAGGCTTCTGCACTGTTAGCATTTGGCCTCCTACCAGGAGTATGATCATTCTGCTATGGTTTCCATTCCTGTCCCGGTGGTTTATGTGGGTTGGTTTTTAGCAGTGCCTGTGTACAGCCAAAAAGCAGGAGAGCAGCCCTGCCAAATGGCCTCCCAGTCACTTGTGCTTTGGAGGCAGGAGAGGGCTCTGTCCCCAGGGAGAAAGGGAAGGAGTGAGAAGGAAGGATATCACAGACATTTTCATTCACGTATTTGCCCTGGTATTGAAATCTGTGGTGCACCTGCAAGGAAAAGGGAGCTTGTTTTTTGCCATTTCAAGTAGAATGTCTTCCAAAGAATTACCAGCTCTGTACTGTGTTTAGTGCTTAATTGGCCTCAATCAAGAGAGCTTGGCCAGTTGGCCACCTGTCCTCTGGTGCTTGGACACCTCTCTTGCCCTTTTTCTTCCTCACCCCTTCAGAGGCTTGTGCATACATGGATTCTCTGTTGCTTAGAAAATGGTGAGGTTATATTGGTCTCTCAAATAGGAAAAATTCTCTTCTTTGCCTGGCCTGACAAACTCTTACAGGGATGATATCTTTGATATCATTGCCTCCTAATAAATTCAGTCAAAATTAGATAATAGGTTCAAAAGTTATTAAAGTCAGGGGGAAGGTGAAAAGTTCTTTGTTTCCATAGGAAAACATGCAGAAGGGGGCAATGTGCATGTCCCAGAGGAAAACGAAAATGACTATTTGCAATCGTAGCATGCTGCAACTTATCTCCCCTTCCTTATCATCTCTTCCACATGTAAAACAAATATTTAAACTGATCATTTTATCTTTCCATCCACCATTTCTGCTCCCTTGGCCAGCTCCACAGGCAGCATGGATAGACTCCTTGGGCTGTTTGGAATGCCTTCCTCTTCCCTGACACTTTTTCTCCTTGGGATACCTATCCCCACTGCCTGGAGGGACACACTCAGCTCCTCTTCTGCAAATGCAGCCAGGTTAGAAGAGGGGCAGTTTCTCAGTTACCTCCTCACGGCTCCTGGCTCCCACTGCACCAGTTCTGCTCTCCCAGTGATCCCCTTGTCCCACTGAAAGGCGCTGCAGCCCCGCTGGATTGTTGGACACAGCGCTGGGCGCGATAGCCGGGGACAGAGCCAAAGTTAGGTCAGCTGGGTGAGCTGGAACACGTCCCCTGGGAAGCGCCTGACTCGGCTGCAGGAGCTGGCCTGGAGCTGACCCTCAGACTCGTGGCATTTCTGTCGGGGGATGCTATTTTGATGACGCTTCTGCAGATTCAATGTCATTTTGGCCTTGCTCCCATTGACGTTGTGGCCATAGGTCTGGACATCAGCTGGCCACAGCCTCTCCTCTTGCTCACCTCCTTTCTGCTTCCTTTTGCCTCGCTGTCCTCAGCCCTGGGTTCTGGGCTTTGCTTTCAGTTGGGAAAGGGCTCAACAAACTGCTTCTGCCTGCAGTTATTCCACCTCCCTTCTTCTCCCTCATGTTGCTATTTTGCTTCATGAACTTGAGGTGTTTTCAGACTTCAGGGTACCCTTTTGTTATTTAGTCCTATTTCTAGAAGTGTTTTGAGGCTCTTGAGGTGGTCACCCCTCCTGCTGAGAATCATTCTTGTCCTCAGCCACCATGCCCGTTTCAGTCCATTTCTTGTCCATTTGGCTGCCACTTAACCTCCAAAGGTTTTGGCAGCTGTAGTGGTATAAGCAGGCATGAATTTGACTCCTATAAAGGATTGGGAAAGAATTGGGTTCTGGGTTTATTGGGAATTAATTTGATCTGTAGAATAGGAAGGGGAATTACTTGCTGTCACCCAGAGGATGTCATTGTGATTGTAAATAGTGTGAAAGGCAAGAAGCAGTAATTGTGCTGCATTAACTTGTTTGACCAGATTCTGCTGAAGATACAGAGGTTTTGGTAAGTTTTTTTGTAAGAATGAGGCTGCTGCTGATACCTATTTATAGATGACTGTGACCCTGAAGATTTCTAGTAAGATGTTTGCAAAGCCACAGCTATCCCGTGAACATTCACGTAAATGAGTTGGCATTTTCCCAATGATAAAAGGCCAGCTCCAATATAGAATCATAGAATTATAAAATCATTTAGGTTGGAAAAGACCTTTAAGATCATTGAGTTGGTGCATCTGATTTCTGACTACGTGTTGCAGGGTATTTACAAATGAATGTAGAAAATAGATATCTGGGGTCATAAAAGGGCATGTTTGAGAGATTGCTTCTGGGGCTTTTCCCAGGGTGATACTGTCTGCCAAGCAATGGAGACTGTGAGCATAGAGCTGATAGCCACTCATTAATATGGTTTATTTTATAAAAAAAGGTCCCTTTGAGTCAGTGGTTAAAATGTTCCCTCTTCCCTTGGCTTCTGCTGGAGTCAGCCTATGACTTTCAGTAATAATTTTAATCTGTGTGTTAAGAATTTAACCTCAAAAGCATAACTGCACTGCATTAATTAAGCTTTATCTAATCTCCAGCTAAACTCCACAGTCAACAAACAAACAGAGCTTTCTCAGGATGGCCTTGCCTTGCATTTACGTGATTCCCAGCACGGTTTCACCTCCTGGGCAGTAAGGTGTTCCCCAGTCATTGTGTGGTAGATTTCTGGGAGGAATGAATCCCCTCATTACAGCTTATCTATGTCAACCATAAAATATCTCTAAGCCTCTTGTTACACAAGAAATATGGACAGCAAAAGAGACTGCACAGCATTCTTCAAGCATCCACAGATGTGACACCTCATAAAGTGCTCAGTTTGTGAGTCCTGGTCTTATTCTGCAGTTTTATATTTCCCTTGTTGCTGCATCCACTTGCTCAACATACTGCCTCTTTGAGAAAGGTATGGATGCCCACTTCCATCATATTCAAGCTGGGAAATATCACTAAACCTGTGCCTTACACAGAGGTATTTACACAGAGTTGTGAGTACATCCCCAGGATGATCAAGACTCAAGTTACTTTGCTATTTGTTGGCATCATAGGCCAGATGGGCATTTTGAATTTAAATGGAATGAAAGGCAAGAAAGGAGGTAGTGACTATTCATACATACATTAGTGGGTGCCTGTGCAGGTTTTCAAGGCATACCAAGTTGCTATCACAACTGTTTTCATTAAAACTAAGCCCATCAGGATGCTATGTTTTCACAATAAGATTCTTAGGTTCTTTTTCTCTGTAAGACAATCTCACTGTTATCCACATCTGAACATAAATATCCCATTCCAGCCTGATTTTAGTTCAGAAGGAAAGTCATGAAAGATCTGTTAACTCAGGTGTTGTCACTGTCTGTGAGTTCCAGTGAGGCAAAGGCACCTGATATTCCTCTGGCTCTAGGGTCAGAACTGAGCAGCTCTGCTGCAGGAAGAGAGCCAGAGAGAAAAGGAAATGTGCAATAGTAAGGTCCATGGGTGTTAAGAGAGCTATGAGAGAACCTGAAATCATAAATGAAAAGTCTCTCCTAATTCAAGAGGAGATGCTTCACCTTCTTCCAGTGAGTTTTCACCCTTGAAATCTTCCATGGGAAGAAACACAGAAGAAAAAACCTTTTCACTTGTACATAATGGGATGCCAGCATGTGGCAGCAGTTCCCTGCCTGACAAAGAGGCTGTCCACATCTCACTTCATCTGCCTGATCACTTGTTTTTCTGAAAACAAAGCAGCAAAAAAATGTGCACATCAGAAGCTCTTCTGACACTGCTGGAGTAGCTTAGCCCAGGTCTGCTTGAGGAGCTGCAAGAGGAGGACAGAAAGCTGGGGGAGAAGTCCTGCTCTGATCCCTTTGTGCAGAGTTCCAAGGAGACCAAGTAGTATGGAGGAAAGGAAGGATGTGGGGTTTAGGAAATGCGGAATCTCTTTTCTGCAGGAGGAGCTCCTGTTGCTATTCTGGTTTCTGTGTCTTCAATCATCAAATGCAGCTTTTGTCTTTTGATAGGACAAGGAGGAAAGTAGTGTACAATGGTGTTCTGACAGCCTGGCACACCCCAAATCTGTGGTTTAAAGCTTACTTTGTGCTGAATTTGTTCTTGTAGTGCTAATGACCATATTGCCATAAATAGCCACTAAATGGGTCTGACATGGTAAAGGAAAGTGAAGGTCACTGTTGGATCTTGTGCTGTATTTTAGATCTCTGTATCAAAGAACTTCATAAGGAAAGAGAAGGTGCATTTTCAGCTTGGGTTTCCTTTTAGGTGCAGAGGGGGAAACTGAGGTATGAGAATGCCTGCTTGTCAGAGCAGGATGGGGATGAGAATGGAGGTGGGCTCTGCCTGATGTTCTGCAAGGTCACAGCCAAGAAACAAATTTTCACCACACAGGGCAAAATTAACTCCCCCATTGAAATGAAAGGTAAAACTTCCACAGAATTCAGTAGAGGTGGGATTTGCCTGCGGCCCAGCTCCAGCAGCCTAAGATTTGAGCCAAGTATCCCAAACTGAATGCCTGTGTGGGGAAGGAAGGCAGGCATATTTGGGCTGCTGGGATGAAGGTGCTCTGCTGGGATGGAAGGGGACATGGAAGGTGCTTGTGTGTGAAAGCAGGTGCTAGACTGCATGGCCCATATTGAGCTGATAGCTCATTTTAGGATCCCAACACTTGACAATATGTTTTCTTGATGTCTTGGTCACTGAGCCTGGCACCCTGAGAGAACATCACCCTTTTCATGGGTGCCAAATGGGTGAGAAATGCATCCTTGTGAGAAGCCCAAGTGCCCTCCCTCTCTGCCTCACTAACAGGTGCAGATGCTTGTCTTGCACCTTGTGTGGGGAGCAAGTCACATGGCATTTTTAAAGATGGGCAGTGGCAGAAGTTTGGTAGCTGCATTTCCTTAACATGCCCTAAACCAGGCTTTGAATGTTACATCTTAAGCACTGAACCAAACCACTCCTTGGATGTACCAGACCACACTGCTGGCCACAAAATCTCAGTTATGCCCCAGAACTAGAGGAATTTAGGATGTGCTTCCCTTTTCAACCTGCCACAACAGCGGGACCATCAGGTCTACAAGCAGCCAAACTGGTAGGCATTTCACTGAGTGGAGATAAGCCAGAGCCTGGCTTGGATGCAATCCCTTAATAAGACTCTGGTTGCACAAAAATAACAAATTAGGCAGGGCAGAATCCCTCTGAGACTCAAAACACATGCTTCTGGGTACCAATGGAAGGGAGAGCAAGGCACAGTGCAGCACCACCAGGAACACCAGCTCTGCTCCCAGTGACTATTAACATATACATTAGTGGGTGCCTGTGCAGGTTTTCAAGGCATACCAAGTTGCTATCACAACTGTTTTTATTAAAAACAGGGTGCCAGAGGGCTCCTGGATATCTCCTGTAAAATCAAGTACAGTTCCTGTTAAGGAGGTTGGTTTTCACTTGAAGGCTGTGTGAGACTGCTCTGGGTTGGCAAGGCTGGCACATGCCCCACTGCCACGCTTTGGGGACCACATTGGCACAACCGCTCAGGACTTTGTGGGGCTGAGCACAAAGCAGCTTCACTGCTGTTGCTGCAAAGGGGATCATGGATGGGCAAGGGACAAGGAGCTGTCTCGTGGAGAGCTGGCACCTGCTTTATTACAAGGTAACCACAGCAATTTGTACTGGTGGGAGGACACAGAAATGGCAGGTTACATCCATGGGGGCAATGCTAGACAGTGATGATATCTGCCAGCCCCTGAGGATCTGTGTTTAGCTTGCAGCAACTCAGAAAAGACTCCAAAAATAAGAAAAAGAGGGAGAAGTTGTCCGGCAAGAGGCTGTGGCTGTGCTAAGAGGGTCGAGCTCATTTCTTGGCAACTCTGAGCAGCCACTTCAGTTCATGTGTTTGTGAAACACCCTGTACTGGCTGGCCAGCCCCAGAGTGACCCGTTCCTCTTCTGTTCCTAAGAAATGACCACTTCCTTTAGACATCTCTGTTTTTCCCTAGGACCTGTGCATGCCCAGAGCTTCCCTGCCTGGCATCAGCCACTGTTCGGGGCTCAGGTGACAGAAGCTGAGCCTGAGAAGGCATTTTCCAGAACAAACCAATGCCCAGTACAGAACCCTCTTTCCAAGTAGGACAGGCTGGGTTGGAGCCCAGGGAATGACCTTTTCTGTGCGGCATTCTCCCACGTAGTGTGACCTGATGTCACTCAGCTGCTAGGCAGTGTTGTGACGTTGCAGCCCTCCCCCAAATCCAAATCCAGGCACTGCTGGTAAACCGCACAGGATGCCAACCAAATTTTGCCATTCTTCACTTAATGTTGCTTAAAGTGAAAGTATTTGACCTTAAATTACTCTTCTTTTTTTTTGAGAAGGGAACTTGTTTCTCAGGAAAGATGGGTTTGATTCTTTGGTTTTGGAATAAATCTGGTATGAATCCCCACACGGTTTCATGCTGCCTTCCCTCCCACCCAAACAGGGGCACTTCTGTAGTGGCTGGCATCACATGTCTGTTGCTCAGGTAGGGAGTCTGAACCCTGCTCTGTGCTCTCAGGTTGGGTTCAGGCAACCACCCAGGAGCAGGGACATTCCTGGCTGCAGAGCAACGCAGGCTGTGTACCCAGGGTAAATGGAGTTTACCACAGGCTGGTAAACAGCTCTGTTTAACACGTCAGCTCAAGTGGGAGACAATCCAGTGTGAAATGCTTGTGCTGAGATGAAATCACTTCTTTTCCACTATCTGGCTTCATCCTGATACTACTCAGGCAGGCTTGAGCCCCTGCTAATCTGTAGGGAGGGTGAAATGCAAAGAGGTAGAAAATAAAGCTCTGACTCTGCCACTGCCACTGCACTCCCTGACCTCATCCTTTGCAGGCTTCTTGCTACCAGTGCAAAAAAGCAGAGAAGAATCACAGAATCGTGGAATGGTTTGGAATGGAATGGATTTTAAATATCATCCAGTTCCAACCCCCTGCCATGGGCAGGGACACCTACCACTATCTCAGGCTGCTCCAAGCCCTGTCCCACCTGGTCTTGGGCACTGCCAGGGATGGGGCATCCACAACTTCCAGGGCAACCTTTCCCAGTGCCTTACTACCCTCACAGTAAATAATTTCTTCCTAATATTGAATCTAAATATAGTCTCAGTTTGAAGCCATTCCCCCATGCCCATGTCAAAACCATCCCTTTATCTGTAGGCTCCCTGTGGGTACTGGAAGGCTGCAAAATGTAAAATATATTTCTCCTAATTTCCCTATCTGACTTGTTTGTTTTCACACAACAGGTTGTTTTGCTTTGGGGAGTAGAGAAATGAGATGGAAATGACAGAGGTCTTTGATAGAAATGTAAAGATGGGAGTACCCAGGAAATCAACAGAGCAAGTCAAAATTCAAAACTACCATCCAGAGTACTGCACTCAAGAGTTTAGGATCTGTTGTTGCTCTAGTCAAAGGTAAGTTTTTTGACTTAATACAAATAAAACAAAAAGGAACCAGATAAATAAAATAACATGACTTTTGGAATCTCTGTGGTCAAATGATAGTATTTAGTGTTAGTATTTTGACCTAAAAGAAATCAATTAATAAAATGCCCATTCTATAAATATGGCAATTTCTAATATTTGTATATCTTGCTTTCCAAAGTCAGCTCAACTATTGGGAAGAAAACTTGCTTGTTTTTTTAAAATTTATTTCTGCTCTACCTTGTGCAAATTCTATCTGCAGCTTTTTACTTTTCAGTGCTAATGATGGCTCTGTAAGCAACCTGGCTGGGCTCTGAGAATTCAGGTGGGGTTTGTACCAGGAGCAGCTTAGCAGACCTTCCTCCTGACCTCCTGATGCAATTAGCTGTGGTCATGCTGTGCTCAGAGAATCCCCTCTGAGTGCAGCTGCAGTGAAGAAGCAGAAATTTCTGAGGCAGCACAAACTTGCAAACCCTTCCACAAGATTATCAAATGACAGCAGGTTGGAGGTATGTAATGAGAAGCACGGGTTCACTGACTAAGCAACCCTAAAGGGAGTGCTGCTTAATCCTTTCCTACACGGTGCCCTGTCACCCTTCTCTGAAGGAACAGGAGGAGGCAAATGTGCTCTGTAATTGAGAGGAAGGTTGATTTACTGCTAAATGAGAATAATACGCAGTTTGCCTTCTTACTGATCTGCTTACAGAAGATCAAGCAGGCTGCTCTGTAGAATCCTTGATTTGTCCCCACTTCTTTCTTTTGGGAGGCCAGAGAGAGCTCCCGCTCAGCACACAGCAGTGGGAATTAAGCAGCTCCTGCACATAAGCAAGCCCATTCCCTTCAGGATTAGCAGCTCTGGAGTCACAGCTCCACAGCAGGACATGCATGTGAGTGTATTAAGGTAACCCTGAGGGTTTTAGATTTAGACACCACAGGGGCAGGGGAAAGTTTGTGTACCAAAGTCCCGCCCAGGTTTGTACAATCTATGCCAACAAGCTTGTGTTAGTATTTCACTGATATCTCTATCCAGGATAGGTCTTGTGAGACAAACGTGTGTAGGTATGGAGCTGCATTCCATCACACCTCCTGCCTGCAAACATCACTGTGGCACCGTGCCAGTGCCTCCCTGGAATCTCCCTGGCATCAGCTCTGCATCTCCCCTGCACTGCCCTGGCATTCCAGTGACTGCACACGACTGCATCACTTCCCTGGCTGCCGGGAATGTCCTGAGAGCTGAACGAGCTGCTTTGGGATCCTGTGAATTCCTCCTGCTAATGTCCTCTTCTGTCTCCTCCCTGCCCTGCCTCACCCCTGCCCCTGCCCTCTCGTTCAGTGGCAAGGGGGATACACAGCAGAGGAGGCATCACATGGATTTGTGTGGCAGGTTTGTAATGAGAGGAGCGTGATGACCCTGCACATTCATCAGATGGTTGTTTTCAGCCTGGACCCATCTGTGATGTTTTTATTATTTTTTTCCTCCCTCTGCTCGGCTAGGGCTGCTCCGGGAGAAGTGGCACGTAGGCACATACGTCCTTGCGCACACTATACTTGTATAAACTCCATCAGGAAGTCATCTGGCCAAACTTTCCAGGGCTCTGCTTTTAACTCTTCCCTAGGCAGGCTGTCCTGTCAGCCAGGGGATTTCCAGGGAGCATGGACATGTGCATTCTGTTCTCTTTACTGATTCTCACTGCTCTCCTTCCTAACAAGCCTCGAGCTACATGTGGATGAGCAGCTTTTTTATCCATCCTACTCTGAGTTCCCATCAGATAAAAGCCCCTTCAGCTCTGCTCATGCACTCGTGCACCCACAGGGCTTTGCAGTAAAACACTGCCTTGGCTTTTCTGGAGGATGAAGCAGCAAAATCAGTTACCAAAAAGTGCCCCAGTGGGGCAGGGGGAAGGAGTGTTGGTGGGATAAAGCTGTTGGCAGGGGCAATTCTCCCCTGCAGTTGTTATTTCAGAAGTGTGTCCTTGCTAGGCACATGAGTAGCAGAGGAAGTTCTCACAGCCCTTAAACATCTCCTGTGGTCAGGGAACGATTAAAAAAAGGCAGCCCCTTCAGAAGTGACCCTGTGCTCAGTGAAGACGTGTCTCACTGTGCATCCCACTCTGCACAATTAAACACCCACCAACGTGCACAGAGATGTTTCAAAGGGCTGTGAAAATCCCTGTGAGATGGCTCACGTAGCAGAAAGGCTGCTATTTCTCCCCAAGACATGTGTGGATTAATAGCTAATTGTTAAACGCAAAATAAGTCATCCCGTGTTGTTAGTGCCTGTTAACTACCCACTGACAGATTTCAATGGCTCTTACAAGATTTATTCCTGGAAGTGTCCAAGAAATGACTGATGTGGCACTTAGTGCTACGGTTTAGTTGAAAAGGTGGTGATTGATCAAAGGTTGGACTCATCTCGGAGGTCTTTTCCAGCCTTAATGATTCTGTGATTCTATTCTATTTTGGAGCCTCCTGCACAGGGGTGAATAACTGGAATTGTAGGAAATGTTATCCTCTGCAACTGGGCATGGAGCAGGGATGTCTGAGCTCATTTGCTGTTTGGCCAAACACTCTTTGTTTGAGCCACTCTTTGTTCATTCTTGCCTTGAAGAAAATACAAAATGTGTGTCAGATCAGCACTGGAGATGTGCCACCAGTGGTAATGCTGCCTCTCTTGACTTACACCACTATAACCAGCCCAGAAAGTAACCATTTATCCATTAAGTTGTTCACAGGCTTTGTCTCTGCTTTACTGCTTATTAATCTTCTCCAGTGTTACAAAGCCATGACATGATAAGATAGATTGTTTAGGTCATGATTTTTCTCCTGGGTGCACAGGTGAAAATAAGAAGTGGCTTAATTGAAGTTAATTCAGTTATCCTGGCATTAATTTTGCCTTCTCTATCACATTTATGGACATCTGTATGGAATAGAGGGGTGTAAGTTTGCACTCAGCCCAGCACAGACAGCTGTGGAACAGAAGGGATTCTATTGCCAGAAATTCCCAAAAATTTAGGTATGACTTTTATGACAGACTCACGCAGACATGTTTCTTTTCTCAAACAGCTGTTTGTGCCATAAACACCAAAGGAGCCTCGGTTTGTCAGAGTCCTGAACTTCATGAGGTGCAAACCACGACTGCTCACCAGCTGGAGTAAGGGGTATTTACAATTTTCCTTGGCCACCTCTTTAACTGCAGTTGGAGGAATCAATCAAGCTCTCATGGTCCCTCAAGGAGGTGGAGAAGCTGAGAGCTGAGGAACAAGCAGGCTTTCAACCATGCACAGTGTTTTCTTTTCTCTTAATTTCTTTCTTCAGGTCATTTTCAACACGGGTTATTCCTCTGTCTCCTCAACTGGAGGATCATAACTCTAATTTCTGCACTTCTGCTCTCAGGAGACCCCACCTGCACCCAGCTCTGGGTCCTGAGCACAAGAAGGACAGTGACCTGTTGGAGCAAGCCCAGCAGAGGAACATGAAGATGATCAGAGGGATGGAGGAGCTTTCCTGCGAGGAAGACTGAGAGAGTTGGGGTTGTTAAGCCAGGAAAAGAGAAGACTTTGGAATGCTCTAATTGCAGCCTTGCAGTGCCTAAAGGGGCTACAAGAGAACTGGAGAGGGACAGTTTAAAAGGGCTTGTAGTGATAGGACTGAGGAACAATCACTTTAAGCTAAAAGAGAGTAGTGTTAGATGAGATATTGGGAAGAAAATTTTACTGTGAGGATGGTGAGGCACTGGAACAGGTTTCCTTGAAAATTTGTGGATACCCCATCCATGGAATTGTTTGAGGCCAGGTTGGATGGGGCTTGGAGCAACCTAGAGGAAATACCTGTAATGAAATGGTTGATGGTGCTCACCAAGGCTCTAATTTTTGTCAGATGAGCAGGAGCAAATAAATTACTGAACACCTCCCTCTGCCACCTCAGGTAAGCCAACACTCACCAAGTGATGAGCTTAAGGCAGCAGAGATTTGCCTTCTGATTTTAATGCACTGCATATCAATCATGTGTAAGGACTGAGGGATTGTTCTCAAAATTTCCAGGAAATAAGACAAACCTGTACAGTTCAGGGAATTTGAGCTGCATGGGCTGTGAGTTGACAGTAGCACCTTGTGTGGCTCCTGTTCACAGCTGGGACCACCACCCCAGGATCTGTTTTTTTAGTGTGTCTCAGAACTCCCTGAGCTAAGTCAGCACAAGGATAAATCCCTTCTCATCAAGCTTTGAACCTAAACCTCAAGGAGGAGGAAACTGTCTCACATCCCATGTGGCTGCTGAGCTTTGTGCTCAGGGGTAACCTGACAGGCAGACTGGAGAGAAAGTATCCTTGTAGGTGCATTTCCACCTCTGGGACAGAGCCTTTGGGATTAAGTGTCCAATATTTAGGACACAAAAGGATGTTCAGTGCTCAGTCCTGACCTCGCTATAACCTGTGGAGAAGCAGCAAAGATTCTCTTTAACCATGTATGGCATAAACAGCGAGGAAGGCGCTTGTAGCAAAATCAGGAAGGAATCTGATAGAGAGCCCCAAAGATAAATGCCACTTTAGGCAATGTTGCTTTAAGCTGTTGACAGGAGCACCATCCACAGAGGAACTGTGAGCTTTAAGTGCTTCTCTGCTTCTGGGTGGGATAAGGTGTCATGTAAAATGCATTTTGTGTTCTTGTTTCATCTCCCTCTCTCCACTCTTCCCCTGTGAGAGCGCACACACCGAAAGCATTAAAACCAGACTGCGGTGAGTTTGCTTCACTAATACATCTCCACATCAAAGGCCTTGCTGGAGTCCATTGATTCTGGCACAGTTGCAGAAACCAGTGACGTTTTCAGTGAGAAATCATGCACTTCTCGGTTGATTTCGGGAAAGGTTAAAAAAAAAAGGGAATAAAAAAGCTCTACCATGTGCAAATATTCACCCTACAGAGAGGCTGATAAACCGTAAAATGTTTGGTCTGGCTCCCTTGGGGCCAGCAGTACTCAGAGATGACTTTATTGACAGACAGATGAGCTTTAGCTTACATGATGTTACAAAAACCTGTCCTATTTAAGTTTTGTTTTCTCTGTTTGTGAATAACATGGGACAGTTCTTGTCTGACGTATTCTTCCCTTCCTATTTCTGAAGCAATGCACCCTGTGCCAATGAATAGCACTGGGACACAGCCCCGTGATTTATCTCAAAAAGCCCAGAGATTATCAATGGCCCCAGGTCAGAAGCACAGGGCACTTTGTTGTTATGCTTTGGGAGTGGCCCAGGCAGATTCATCTCCAACACAGGTGTACCTTGACAGCATTCTCATTGGATATCTACTTCTGCTCATGAGATCCATCAGCTATTTCTACTGAAAATACTTCTGCTTTTAACTTTGCCTCATAGACATGAAACCATTGTATTTCTATGTTACTTTAACTGAAACTACTCATTTTCTACTGAAAATGTTTCTGTTGTAAGACTTGTATTACCCTTGTGTATTGGTGCAAAATCTGAAAATGACATAGGTCAAACCTGAGTGGGAAGAACAGTTTTGTTCTTCTCTGGTTCTGGAATTTCAGTATTTGTAGGACTCTTTGGCTGCACTTGCTTTGCATCCTGCCCATGAACAGCTTCCGAAATGCAAGAGCATTAAGGTGTTTTCAAAAGGTGCCTGCAGACCACATCTTTTCCTTAGAAATATCCTCCTTGAGGCCCTCCCAGTTCCAGCCACTCACTTATTTCTTCAAACAGAGCCCCTAAACACAAGTCAGCAGCTGCAGCCCTCAGGAGTGGGCTCTGCTGGTGGCACTGCTGTCACTGCCAGCCACAGCTTGTCCTGGCAGTGCTGTCCCATGCTCAGAGGCAATGGGGCCTTCTCCTCCTGTGTGCCCACCAGCACTGGGCTGGACCCACAGGACACAGTGAAAACCCACCCTCACCCCTCAGTGGGAAGAGTATCCTCCTGGGCACCTAATTATAGTGAGATGGAAAAACGTCCATGAAAGGATGAGGTTAAGTTTTCCAATACGTAGCACAACAGTAATCAATACTTGCATCAATACTTAATTTATCTATGTCAAGCAGAACAGCTCCAGCAGGAGGGAGTGAGATCATCTCTTCCGACCCGCCGTGTGCCGCGGCCCAGTCACACCGGGTGGCAAACGATGGTTTAAATCCCTTCACTCTCAGGCCTTCATTCTCAAAAGCTTGGATATGAGGGTGCTGCTGCCAGCAAGACTTTGCCAGGATGGCCCCACCCTTAGCTCCTGCACAGAAGGAACACCTTAACCCCTCTGTGAATCTAACCCCAGACCCCTAGCCCCTGAATAAAAACACACATGAGTCTTCTTTGATCTTGGGAGAATTTTCAGCTGCCCTCTGATGAAAGGCATTTGCCTCACAGCCACTGAGTCAAGCCTTTGGAGAACTTTTCTGCTTCTTATGAGGAGCTGCAGTTTCAGTAAGAGGCTGCAGCGCTCCCCAGATATCATCCCCCATGAACGTGTTCTCCCCTGCACTGCAGCAGCTGCTCAGCCAAGGTATTTGCAATGTTCCCCATGAGATATTCATTTTTTGGGCACCTCCCCGCAGGGACATCAACGCTGTGACTCAGTGGCACTGAGAGTTTGGTGGGAAGTGGGGGAGAGCTGCCTGCCACGCACAAGCGGTGACATAAGTGGTGGGCAAGTCAGAAACAACAACTCCTCTGTTGCAACAGGAGGTGAAGGTTTCATCTCCCCATGAATGGTTCCCCTCACAGTGACTAAGCTGTTCCCCTCATCCAGCTCATGGAGAGACTGTGCCATGTGCTGTGTATTCCTGTAAACCAGCCAGCTTCGGGTCATCCCATCCCAAGCCTTCTCAGAAGAGATCTCTCAATGTGCTGGTTTCATGAAAGGTGCTGAACGCAGACTGAATTGAATTTCAATCACTCTTTCCTTCCTTGTTAAATGCTTCTCGTAGGAGTTGCAGCCCCTCAGTTCAGCTGACAGGAAGGTAAGGATATCTCCCTCTCAACCCCTGTGTGTTCATGTGTTCACAGCCTGGGTCTTGCTCCTGAACTGTGCTGTGTGTTATTACCCCTTTGCCTGCAACATGAGATGACCATCAACATTTTCACCACACTCTTAGTTTTCACAGAAAATCTATTTGGTGTTAGTGACAGCTGTGAACTTCGAGCACAGTGTCTGCTCCTGGGCACTTCAACCAAAACTGAAGAATTGAGTCACATGTGCACTGTGGGACAGGGGTGCTGGCACACAGGCCTGTCCAGAAAAAGCTATCCCAGACCAGTTCCAGGAATCACTGAGGAAAACTGAAGAAGAGAAATTGATCCCAGTGGATTCAACAAATCTCAGATTGCAGAGAGATTCCAAATTAATTGACAATCCTTCTTTCTTCAAGGGCTTGTGTTTCTAAGCTTTCAGTGGATCATGAGTCCCTGCTGTTCAGGGTTACTTTGGGTTTAGACCTTGCTCTGAAGGTCTGTTTCATGACTATCTCATTATCTGAGACAGGTGCCCAGCACCCAAACAAGTGTCTCCTGCTGCCCAAGCAATTGTGCAGGCTGTCCCTCCTCTTTTTGGGGACAGAGCATGTGCCAAACATCCATCAGACAGGCGAGTGCATTGCCGGAAGGGGCTCAGACATTGTCATGGAAGTGAACACAACAGCCTGCTCAGAACACAATAGAGTCTCCAGTTTATTCCTAAATTATTAATGTTCCCTGAGGAGTGGCTGCATGCTGCTGGCTTGGGCACTGTGGGAACACAATCTCTTCCCAGCGAGGCTGTGGGCTCCTCCCCTCGGTATCTCCAGGTGGGATCACAGTGGAGCTTGGCCCATCCCAGGAGTGTTATCCAAGGGGGCAGGACGTGGCTTTCAGTGCCAGCTGGGAGAGGACACCCACAGCATGGGGTGGCAGCCCCATGGGTGGTGTGCTGTGGGTGGCAAATGTCCTCTTCCCTTGTTAGCAGTCTGGCAGCACCTTTCCCAATGGAAAACAACATCCTTCACTGCCTTGGGGTTTGTCATCACCACTTTTTTGAATCTCCGTTGTCTGCTCTGTACACAGGAGGATAGCAAGCCAGGAGTTGGGCTCCCTCACCCCCACAGACTGTGATTCTGCTGTAGGGTGACACCCCTCAAAGGCTTTTAAAGGTGTTTCAGCTCAGTCTCACTGTAGCCTGGAGAACATCCCAGAGTGCACGAGCACGGACAAAAAGCTGAGGGACACTCTCCAGGGTGGCCTGGGCAGATCTCAGAGGGAAGAGGTGTGGGACAGCACCTATGGAATTGTTCCAACCCCCGAGCAATCCAGATACCTCCACCCTTACACCAGAGCTGTGTCTCCCCACTGGACAGTGCAGCAGAGGTATCAGTGAGGCACCCCAAGGGCAGGATGCTGGGCTCTGGCAAGACATGGGTCTCTTGAAGGAGAGGGAATGGCACAAAATGGTCACAGCAGGGATTCCCTCTGACAGGTCCTGGTGCTGATCCTGGCTGTAAAAGGGTCCTGGTTTGGCTGCTGGAATAAAGAGTGATGCTGAAGGAAGTACTTCTGAACCTTAGGGAATCATTGCTAAAGCTAACAGAGAGTGAAACCCATCCTAAAACATCCACCATGACAAACAGCCTGGAAAGAGGGAGAAATAAGTGAATTCCAACAGATGGAACCTAGGATGAGCTAGAGCAAGTGGGGGAAGAGGAAAGGTAGGGAGGAGGTATTGAGACAGCCTCTGCATAGTTCCACTTCCCCTTTTTTCATTTGTGTGGCAATGCCATTCATTAGGAAACATGAATCAGTGGCTTTTCCCTGCTCTATGCTTCTCAGAGAGCTGCAGCAGCTCTCCACAAGACCTGGAGCATCTTCTCCCTGCCCCTGCACTGGCACAGGCTGAGGGCATGGAGCCACCAAGGACTTGCCCTGCCATGGCCAAGCTCCAGGGTTGTCTCACAAGGTTTTTGGCAAATGTCAGCAGGAGCAAGGGTTGGCACAAACACAGCACTGCAGCAGAGGAAGTTGTTGTGCTCACACATCTTGCCCAGCAAAGGTGGAGAATGGAATTTATGGCGTTTCAAAGGCACACACACGGTTTTGGCACCTCTGTCAGCATGAGAGGTGTCACTGCCATAAAACCTCCAGCAGCATCAGGGTGTTAGCTTCACCAGAGCTCTACCACATCTCCTCACCTTGTCTGCAAGGAGCCAGGCTTTGTCCCTGCACTCAGGGGAGAGCCACTTTCCTGGCTCAACAGCTTCCTGGGGAAGGTGGATTTACACTGACCCCAGCCGTGGGTGGTGAAGTGTGGATGCTGTCAGGCCTGGAGATTTCTGTCACCTTCTGTCACCTTCTGTCACCTTCTGTCACCTTCTGTCACTGGCTCCTCGCTTCCATGCAGAGCACAGTGAGAGCTTCAGCCACAGGGGTTATGTGTCTGAGTCACCTGCACGAGCTCTGAACCTGGCTGTGTCCTCTGGACACAGTGGGCCATGGCAAAATGTCATGTAGGACATCTTGTAGTAGATAGAGAGGTCCTCCTCCTTGGGCACTTTCCAAAGTGACACTGCCCCGGGCAGATCAGGCACCTGGGTGCCAGCTTTGGAGGTGGGTGACAGTCACACAGGAGAAGGGAAACCATAGCCAAGGTCACTGATTTCAACAGCAAATGGCTCAAAACTAGAGGGGAAACAGGATCTGGAGACTCTGCAGCCAGCAACTCTCTTCCAACACCTCAAGAGTCAGCAGCCCCCAATGGAAGAGGAGGGTGGCCCCACAGCACTACTAGTCCCCCTACTACAACTCCCCTGGCTCTGTGGGTGGGTAGAAAAGCCACCTCACGTGGTGTCACCTCCAAGAGTCCCTCAGTCCCCACAGAGCCCGGTGGTGGCTGCAGCCACCAAGCCCCGTGGTGCCACAGGACTGTCCCCACAGGTCACACCCTCCCCTGCACTAGGGCCCTGCAGGGTTTGGTGTGGCCACCAAGTCTGCTTGGAAATGACATTTCAGTCCTGCTGGCAGCCTTCCAACTTCAACATTCTTTTTTTCTTCCTTGAAAAAAGTCAAAGAGAGAAGTGAGGCCAGGAGGGGTCAAAACAGAGACAAGAGGGGCTCAAACCAATGGCTTCTGACACTTTGTTTTGGTAAGGACTCCTAGAAAGGCTTGTCTGGGAATGGGACATGTTGAAATGTCTTATTTAGATGGAAAATGCCTTATCTAGTAAAGAAAGTTAACTTCCTTCTCGTCTTAGACGCCTAAAAAATTTCCCTTGGCTTCCTTCCACACAGCTGACGGACGACCCCATTCCAGCCCCACAGCTGCGTGCTGGCTGCACTGTGTCCTGTGCAGGGGGCATGGTGTCACTCCTCTGGGCCTGGGATAGCAGCCAGGGTCCCTGAGGGTGGTCCTGCTCCCCCCAGTGGGGAGCTGAGGGGATGGGTGCTGCTAGAGGCACAGGGCAGCTCCCTGTCTGCCTCTGGCTCTTCATCCCGATGAGTTTTGGCAGTAATTGTCTGCAGAGTGGAGACAGGCTTTAGTTAAAGGGCACTGACCTTCCCATTGGTCATTGTCAGCCTGCTCCATTTCATCTCCATCTCATCTCCATCTCCATCTCCAATCTCCATTTCATCTCCATCTCATCTCCAATCTCCATTTCATCTCCATCTCCATCATCTCCCTCTCATCTCCATCTCCATTTCATCTCCATCATCTCCATCATCTCCATCTCTCCATTTCCAAGGCAAGCCCCTTCCTTCCTCCCAGGAGCACAGCCATGTCCCCAGCTTCCTCCCAGTGCCACCCCTCAGGGATGCAGTGACAAATCCATGGGCTGTCCTGTCCCATCAGGGTAATGACTGCCAGTGCTCAGTTTGCCTGTGATCCACCTCTCGCAGCTCCATCTGGGGGGGTTCACAGCCAGCTCCAGACACTGATGGGCAGCACAGCCATCTGTCCTAGCCATGATCCACCACCTCAGCAAGTTACCCCGAGGGGCAGGGGGACCAGCCAGGCTTGGGGAGGGTCTGATCCATCTGAGCAAACACGGCGTGGTCCCGCTGCTGGGAGTAATAAAGGACTTTCTGCAATTACCCCGCGTGTTTTGGAAGCCAGGATTTCAAAGCAGCAATCAAGCCCTAATTGATTAAATGCTCACCGCATTCCCGGGAGTGAGCTGCTGCCCCCCGGGTAAATGGGAATAAGTCACAGGCAATTAGCGATTTGCCTGAGGTGCTTCTGCTTGTTGGTAATGTCTGGGCTCAGGCTCCTCTGGCCCTGTTAGTCATTAGACCACACATCCTCCGTCCTCTCCTGGTGGCACCCTGGCAGCCCTGGCAGGCTGGAAAGAGCAAAATAATCTAACTTCACGTTTATCTAGGAAAAAGTTTCCCACAGTCCCTTCTGTCTCTTTTTGTTTTGATTCTGAGGTTTTGTTTTTCTGCAAAGTTAAAATAAATCTTGAACTGCAACTGCTGGGCTTTTTTGAACACAGTTGGTTGCTAGAGCATCGTTTGAGGGAAACACATTAAAAAGCAGAACAGTGTGTTTATTGCCAGAGCCAGGCTGGCTGGACAAGGCTGATCGAGTATTTTAAGCACCAGATGACATTTATGCATTGCAGAAAGCAGTTGTGGTCTCTCTGAGCTTGTGGCTGCTGCTTCTCTTCCTTCTGGACAGAATCTTATGGCCTTTGTCTCCAAGATTTTGATTTGCCATGCAATGCAGGTCCCAATTTTCTGTCTGCTTACCCTGTGCTATTCCTGGAGTGCAGGGGGACCAGAGGACATCTCCCACCCACCCCTGCTCCCCACTGACCCTCTCTTGTGCCCCCATCAGCAGTGCTAAGGCACTCGGTATCAGTGTCCAATAAACACTGAATGACATCTCAGTCGTCCTCAGGCCCAGCCTGTGATTTGGGAATCTTTGTTCTTTCACCCTTTTCTTTCCCATTAAAGCCACTCTAAAGCAAATGTCATCTTCTTTAGGAATACGGTGTTTTTTAAAAGCTTTTGAGATTGTTTTTGCCTTTCTCTTTTTCCCTTTGCTATTCAGTACTATCAAAAGGGACTGCTGGAGTGACATTAATGGAAGTTAAACAGGGGTTTGACCTTCTCTGGGATTCTCCATCTTGCTGCACATTAGTGTTTTGGAAATCCTTCCCATGTGATGGTTGGGATGAGCTGGCTGGAAGGCCCTTTCCAAGAAAGCCCTGACAAAGCACTCTCTTTGCAGGAAAATGGGTATTTGTAGGTAAATGCATTCCTTTCCCCCAGACTGGCTATTTCAAAGCTGTGCAGTAAGCGCCCAGAGAATTTCTTCAGCTGCATGGACACCACTGGTCTGTAAAACCCTGAACTTTGCTTTGACTTGGTGTCTGTTTGTTTGAGAGTATCTTGACCTGCCACTCTGGCAGTGTGGGATGGAAGGACTCCACTGCTGACACCTGGGAAGTTGGGAGGAAGGGACTGTCCTGCCAAACCGTGCTGCCCACGGTGCTGGGGCTGATGTTATCCCACTGTGAGCTCTGGGAAAGGGCAAAGCTCCTCCATGTCCAGAACCCAGGGTGGGATTGTGGCCATCCAGCACTGAAACCTAGCTTCAAATGCTTCTCCTGGACAAAAGGATCTAATTAAATCCCAGAGGGCCGAACATATACCAAATTAGCACTTCATTTTAGGATACTATGGATTTTTCAGACAGAGAAAGTGATTGTGTTTCACTTAAAGATGTGGCCTTTAAATTGCAATTAGCTATATCTTCACTCCAATCAAAGATGTCTCATAACCAAACGATGTCCTAAAAGCTGATAAAGCAGCATTCCTGACCGCTGCACACATTTTTTGAATATCTCAGTGATATGGATTTCATTCCTTGCAGTCAGCGGAAAAACCTCCAGTGACTCACAAGGGATAGGAATCCTTAGGAAAATAATCCGTGCTGGAAAACCAACACTTCCCCTCCACTATCTCAGCCTGCTGCCAGCGGGGGTGAGAGCAGCGCAGCCAGACAAGGACTTCTCCTGCCCGCCCGGCTCGGGTTACACCGCGGGGTGAGGAAGACACCCGCAGCCCTGCCTCCCCTGCCCTGCCCACAGAGCCCTCACTGCCAGCTCAGACAGCAAATCTGGATGGCAGCTCAAAGAAAGGCCCTGTGGGACTGCTCCTCAGAAGCTTGTCAAGTGTCATTTCCACGTGGCATCGTTCACCACACCTCACCTGGCTTTCACAGGGTGGAGATGTGACCCAAGGGAGATGTGCTTCCTGGGGTCAGGAGCTGCACCCCAATCTGCTCACACTTCCATGGGGCACCTCCAGTTTGTGTCTTCTCTCATCTCCTGTGCATTGCTGCTGCTTGTTTCATCTTCGCTCATCTCCTTTACATTGCTGCCAACTCTTCTCATGGCTGCTGTCCCCATCCTGAGAGTGGGATCACATAAAGTGGGATGGGATGGGATGGGATGGGAGGTTGTGCAAGCAGAGGAAGCCATGCCAAGGTGTGAGTGGCATTGCCACCACAGAGGGATGGCAGCTCCCTGGAAGAGCCCATCACAGGGAAATCTTTTCCTTTGGTGGCTGGGGTGTGTGATCTCAAAATGCTGACAGGGGTTGTACTCCTAGGGAGTTGAGATGGGGGAGGCTTGTGGCAGTAGGATCTGAGCATGGAGAAAGTGCCAGTGTGATAGACAGCACGGGGGGCTGCACCCACACACCTCCACATCACTCTGCGTGGTACTCCCTGGCACAGGATCCCAGCAGGATCCCCCTCCATCCATGGGCTGTGCTTCCCTCAGGACTGGTTGCTTAACTGCAAGCACACCCTGGTGTCCCAAAGACAGAGGAAATCTCCCTTGAAACTAAGTGGCCTCTCTGGCTGCAGCTTTATCTTCTCCTTCCTGTTTACTGCGAGGTCCCTGAAGGGGCTGTTTGTTCCCACCATCACAGGGCCCAGCGCCTCTCAGGGCTGTCAGGATGCCTTCCATCACCCTGGAAGCTCTGCACTGGCACCTCCCTTCCCCTCTCCATCTGCCCTCACCCTGTTCTGGGCACAGCAGGTCCCCTGGAACACCCAGCAGTGCCAGTGCCCTCCCTGCCTGCGGGGCTGCCCCTTCCCTCCACTGCCATCCCACTTGCTTCCTGTCCATGTTTGGTCAAGCTCTTCATCCTGATATTTAAAACTCTGGGCTGAGCAGCCTCTACTCACATCTCAGCTCAGCTTTCCTCCTACTCTTCCTTTCCTCACGGTAGCACCACAGCCTCATCTCTTCTGCCATTCTCTTCACCTCTGGCTCCTGCTCCTGCCTCCCTGCCCATCTCTCCAGGCTGCTCCCTCTGGTCTCGCTTTCACCTGTTGGGCAACTGGCCCATCTTCCCCACACTGCCCCAGAGCTGCCTTCCTTCAGCTTGCCTTTCACCTATGCTCCCTGCTCAGTATTGTTCGTTCCTCTTTTGGGCCTTAGGACAAAAATATCTCCCCACCCAAGCAGCCTGCGCTGCTGGTCAGATTTCCTCGTGAGCTGTGTGAGCAATGTTGTTTCTGTGCTGGGCAAATACACTGACCTAAGAGCAGGCAATTCGTGTGAAAATGTGTTCTCACATCACTGCTTTTCATCTACCTTTTTAATTTTTTTAATAGGTCATTCTCACTAGTTTAATGCTTGACTTTTATTTCTAAGCACACAGGCATGTCCCTCCCTCTGTTACTGAGTGCAGGAGGTTATTGCAGTGTTGCAACTCTGTCAAAGAGATCTGCCCCCTCTATAGAGCAAGATGTGGTGAAAACACCAAGGTCTCAGCCATAAATGCTGCTCACCTCCCTCTCTCTTGTTTGCTCTCTGCTAAGGTGTGTCAGGCACTGCTGTGCCCCCTTTTCCTTCTTTTTGGAGGTACCCATCAGTTTGTTCTTCTGGCAGTAAAACACAGCAGTAGCTTTGGCATGGCATGGAGCCCCTTGTCTGCTCCTCAGCAGGTGTCTGTCCCCCTCCAGCTGCAGATGTGGCAGGACACAGGTGAGGGCTGATCCCACTGCTTCACCCCTCGAGGGAAACTCACACCTCCAGCCTCCTCTGGAGCACCCTGAGTCTACCTCTGTGTCTTGGGGGGTGGGTTACTCCCAGTCCCTCATGCTGGAGTTGTCCCACTTTCCACAAGCTCTTTAAACAGTGAGGAGCAAGAGAGAGGATGACCTGGGAGTTGAGAGGCTTCCTTGTGTGGTGGGACAGGTCGCTTCCACAGCTTGGGCTGAGAGAGGCAGACGGGTTTCCCACAGCTCTGTGCCACAAAGTGCTGCTGCTGCTGGCTCCCAATGGCTTTGTGTCTTCCCCCTGAAGTGTCAGCTGCTGAACAGGAGCTGCACGTTCCATGGCTGCTTGGAGCTGTGCTTCTTGTGGATAAGCTCTCAGCCAGAAGAGAAACCCTGTGTTAATAAAGTTGTAGCTTAGAGATGAGCAAGAGCAGGTACAGACCTGAGGGTCCCTGATGCAGAGTAGCTCCCTGCAGTCCCCAGGGTGAGTGAGAGGATTTCTGCACTGTCTCATTTGAGAGTTATAAAGCAGAGGAGAATTTAGCTCAGTCTCCATCCTCAGGGCTCCTTCTTGAGTCACTGTGGCTTGGCTGGC